ATAGTGGGAGTGGCTGCTGAGCGCTGATAACCTCGAGCCAAGATGGGGTCGATCTAGTTCCTCTTGTCAACGCAACCTTAACGCAACCAACGCGGCATGTCCGTCTCAAACCACAAAATATAAATACTGCCTGCCACCCACTACATACGACGAGACCTTCCAAGACAAGAAGACGGTGGAGAAGTTCCAATTGGTCCCCTCTCATCCTTCGGCAAGACTACCATCTCACGTTCTTCCATCATTTCTTGTGTCGTTGGATTTAACCCCAGTCTGCCAGCCCTACTTGGTGCCACCTACACGTCATAAGCACCTCGGACAAGGTCTACCTATCACAATACAGAAAGTCTATCTTGCTTTTTGAGTTTCTTCTAGATCAAGCATTCGAGGCCTTTTTGATACTCGTTCCTGGCTTACACTTCCACCTTTCACCTCGTCATACACCTCAGCCATGGAGACCAGATCACGATTTAAGGTCTGGGCTGACAAACTCGCCGTTGAGTCTGAACCTGGCTTGACCAAGACCCAGCTTATGGTATGAAGCCCTCGCAAGCTTTAGCTTTTCATCATTGGAGTGCATTATGCAGTGCGATGAATGAGACCGAGTTGTACTGAACTTTTATGCAGCTTACGAACCATGATCTCAAACCTGTCGAGTCGGAGCGCCGACAATGGGGCCCATGGAACTTTGTTGGTTTCTGGATCGCCGATTCTTTCAACATCAACACTTGGATGATTTCATCATCCATGATTGTCAATGGTCTGTCATGGTGGCAAGCCTGGCTCTGTGTCTGGATCGGATACAGTATCACTGGTATCTTTGTCGCAATCAATGCTCGTTTCGGTGCTATGTATCACATTGGTTTCCCTGTTGCCAACAGAACCTCCTTCGGTATCTGGGGTAGCTTGTGGCCTGTACTGAACCGTGCTGCTATGGGTATGCTCTATCCTTCCAAACACAATCAGGATTCATTACTAACGCATGACAGCCTGTGTATGGTACGGAGTGCAGGCTTACATTGGTGGTGACTGTATCTATCTCATGATCCGCGCCATCTGGAAGTCATGGGCCAATGTTCCCAACACTTTCAGCGACGACTCGGGCACCGATACCGCACACTTCGCTTCCTTCTTCATCTTTTGGCTTGTATCGCTTCCAGCACTCTGGTTCCCTGTCCACAAGGTCCGACATCTCTTCACTGTTAAGGCATACGTTGTTCCCGTGGCTGGAATTACCTTCTTAGCCTGGACCATCTCGCGCGCAGGTGGTATTGGCCCCATTGTAAAGGCTGGTAACAAGGTCCACGGCAGCGACTTGGCCTGGGAAATGGTCAAGGGCATCATGTCTTCTATCTCCAACTTTGCGACACTCATTGTCAATGCCAGTGACTTTTCTCGATTTGCGCAGAAGCCCAAAGACGCCCTCTGGCCCCAGATGATCACGATCCCCTTCGGTTTCGCCATCACTTCATTTATCGGCATCATGGTCTCTTCAGCTTCTTCCGTCCTGTACGAGGAGGCCATCTGGAACCCCCTTGATCTTCTGGATAGATTTATTGACGATGGAAGCTCGGCCGAGCGCTTTGGTGTCTTCTTCCTTGCTACATCCTTTGCCCTAGCTCAGCTTGGAACGAACATCTCAGCGAATAGTGTTTCAGCTGGCACTGATTTGACTGCTCTTCTTCCTCGCTGGCTCAATATTCGTCGTGGAAGCTACTTTTGCGCCATCGTTGGCCTGTGTATCTGTCCCTGGCAGCTTCTCAAGGACAGCAACCAGTTTACGACCTACCTTTCAGCCTACAGCGTGTTCCTGAGCTCAATTGCTGGTGTTATGGTTTCCGATTACTACATCGTGCGTAAGGGTTACGTTGATACGAAGGAACTCTACGATGCTCGCAAAGAAGGACCGTACTACTTCACAGGTGGTTTCAACTGGCGTGGCTACGTTGCTTACATCGCCGGAATTGTCATCAACGTAGTTGGTTTCGCCGATGCCGTTGGTGCCAAGAACGTTCCACAGGGCGCGATCTATATCTATCAGCTCAACTACTTCTGTGGTTTCATCGTCGCATCGACGATGTACTGGGCCCTATGCAAGATCTCACCAGTGCCAGCAACTAGCGATCGATGGATGGAGGTTGGTGATGAGATCGATGATATCCGAGTCGCTTATAACTCGAGAACTCCATCATATGACGAAGAGATTGCAAGGAGCGAAGCACCAAAGGCAGCAGACGAGACGAAACATTTTTGATTTGGGCATATAAAATTGTGGGTTTATTTATGGGGATAGATTTATTATACCGATTGTTGATTCCGAGATATTTGAAACATAGCAGCACCAGCTATGTGACGAATGAATATATGGTTTCGAGCTAATTGGCTTTCCTACCCTCTGGATTTACTAAAATGGTTTTGTTATAGCATACTGAACTCCGCAGGGACTGCCAGGCCAGAGTCTTCTACCTGGTTCAATAACTTAAAGACTACTCCGTACTATGCGGAGTTCAGTGGACTTAAGCACCTATGAGTATTCCCCGATCCTGTTCGCCGGGGAGCTTCTTAGACTTCACTCTAGAGCTCGTTACACAAGCCCCGTTGGCTCAGTGGTAAAGCGTATCACTAGTAATGATAAGATCACTGGTTCGATTCCAGTACGGGGCAACAAACAATCACCAGGCGCGTTCATGCGCCTCAATTTTTCTTCAATCTTGTTGCTTAGTTGATCTTGGGAGCTTGACTGAGGTACTTCGACTTTTTGGCGTTGTGTGATAACAGCGGGACGGCACGCGTGCTTATTTGATTTAAGGTTTATGCGGGATGATGTCACATATGCAAGCACTTGTTACTCAGTATATCGATCTGATTGCAGAATATAATCCAACGACTTGACGCAGAAGATAATTCAAAAGCGTTTGCGCTTCAACATGTTGTCGCCTGACAGGAGTGGTACTTCTAAGATTAAGGCAATTTCCAGCAGAAGCACCTTATGCAATCTCCTGCAGAAATAGTATTAATGTACGCAGACATGGGGCTCTGTCTACATTTTCAATTAGTATCATGCAATGATTTTCTATTCGCTGTCGCTTTAGAGTGCATTCCCTGTCGATAAGATCCTGTCGGCAAAAGAAATACTATAAAACTATGCAAAACTCAGGAAGCACTAAGACAGGTGCTCCCGATGTGCCACGTGCATGTAAGTAAGCAAGGCCACTACCAAAAATGGAAGCCGCTGCCTCGACACCACAGAAGCCATCGCGACCACGAAAAAGGATACTTATCAGATCGACAAAAGATGAGACTGGTTGAATCACGTGCCCCGTACTGGAATCGAACCAGTGATCTTATCATTACTAGTGATACGCTTTACCACTGAGCCAACGGGGCTTGTGAGGTGATTCCTCGCTTGTTGAAGATGGCGGCCGAGATGGAGTTTATATTTCTGACAATTCCATCAAAAGAACATAACTAGGAGACTCTCGTTTTGGGTTTAGAGCGACCAGAAGATGGGGTACTGCGAAAATATATGAAGAAGATTGGTAAAGTGGAAATGTTAAACTAAACCACTGTGCCAAAAAACCCATAAAATGTAAGGTCCCTACACTACATTAGGGGCCTAAGGCAACAGGGCTTATATTTTGTACAACTGGAAAACTTTATCGTTTGTGGATGATTGGTAAACTGGCTGGGTGATTGCGTCATACAAACAGATCAATCCTTGTCCAGTGTACATAAGCTTGATTACATGAAATCGACATGGATGGCTTTCACCTTGACTTGTCACAGATGCGCCATGACTTAGAAATTGCAAGACAGGCGGCAATAAGGAGAACAAAAAATATTAAAAGCTTAGACTATTTATCTGGCGACTGAGATGCTTGGTTCATTTAGTACTACTCGTGGTAGATCAAGAGCTGTTAATACTCAAAACCTTGGGGTTATGTATACTAAGTACTACTTATATGCATACACATGTCTAGTCTTGTAATCATTCAAAGTGCCGATGTTACTTGTGCCTAATTGTGGAAATGTAGAGGAAACTGGCTCATCAATTAACGAAAATTAATTGAGAGTATTGCATATAAATTAATCAGACAGTTTGCAGAAAATGACTCCTTGTAGCCGGTGACCAAACTGGTATTTGTTGCCGTCTTCCGAGAGTCCCGTGTCATGTGGCTCCTCTCGTTTCTGCACCGTCTCCATATTGCGTATAAAGAAATCAAAGTTGTTTGCACTAGAGTTCTTTATTCACTTAGAGAACCTTTCGTGCTGAAACTGTGCTTTGCATAGAACTGGAATAAGGAGATATTCCAGAGGTGGGAGCTTCAGAATTGCACCACAGATCTCATAGACTGATCGTATTCAGAAAGATACCCCACATGCTCAATGAATAGACCCAACCGCGGTGAAGCTTATTAGTTGTAAAACGAGCCAATGTTACATTCAAGTGGTCAGTTGACACGAGAAATTCGAAATGCGGGATTAATGTTCCACATGAAGTTTCGATGGTCTGTTATCTGTTGCTATCGGTATCTTGGCTTCCACTTACACGGTTTGGGCATGTTTGATGGATCAAGTCAGATTGCAGCTTGAACCGATTATCGATCCTTTAGTCGTTATTATGTGTTTCAGATTATGTGTCACAACGAACTATGTCTAATCTTCTTCAATAACGACAAAATGACGAAGAAATGAAGAGATATCTTGACATCGTGATTTGATATTGAGTTCAACTGCCACTAACACGGAGTAGAGAAACGGCATATTTTGGGGGACCCCACTACTGCGGATCATTGACCGGCCCGCCTCAGCCAATACGATACCCCGCCAAAAGATTTGTGGTCGCCCAAAAAAAATGACCGAGATCGTCGTGACCAGAAGAGAAAAATTTTCCCGTAGGTTTCACAAACAAACTGATACAAGTCTAACTCTTGTTTGGGTGTAAGAACACTCGATTCCTCTTCAACCTCTCCACGAACTATTTCCGTGACACGATATTCAACATGTGTGGTGTTTCGGCCATTTTGGTGAGTCTTCACTCTTCTGCTCTTCTCTCTTATTGCCCCTCCCCCGCGCTCATAGAAAAAAAGAGACCCTTGCCCGAAGTGCTACCAAAGAGTTGAAGAAATAGAACACAACATAATATCACATATCACGTACTGACATTCTTCGATAGCTAGGTGACCAGGAGGCTACCTCCGCCGCCATTGACCTCCACGAGACATTGTATTATCTCCAACATGTTAGTCCCCCATCGCGAATATCCCGAATCCCGAAAATTCGATATCTTCAGATGTTAACCAGCTATAGCGTGGACAAGATGCTGCAGGTATCGCTGTTTGCCAGGGCGGACGAGTTTCTCAATGCAAGGGTCTCGGTATGGCCAGCAAGGTCTTTTCTGATGGCCGACGACTTGAGCATCTCCCCGGTTACATGGGTATGGCAATGCGACGCACAGATTACACGGAGGCTGACTCTCCATAGGCCTGGGCCATGTTCGTTACCCTACCATGGGAACTGCTTCTGCGTATGTGTTACTAGGCACACCATCTCGTACACCACTGACCAAAAATACGACTACAGCTCCGAAGCTCAACCTTTCTACGTCAACGCCCCTTTCGGTATCTCCATGGGCGTCAACGGTAACCTCGTCAATACCGAATACCTCCGCAAGTTCCTCGACGAGGAAGCCCACCGACACGTCAACTCCGATTCCGACTCGGAGCTCCTGTGCGTAATCGAAGCTCGCGCTTATTCGAACCACGATGACTGATTTGTACCAATAGCCTCAACATCTTCGCCCACGGCCTCCAGCAGCTCGGCAAGACTCGCGCCAACTCAGAGGATATCTTCACTGCTCTCGGCGATGTCTACGCCAAGTGCCAGGGCGCTTTCGCATGCACTGCCATGATCGCTGGTTTCGGCATTCTTGCCTTCCGGTGAGTTGTCGCAACTTTTGAATGACCTCTTATCAAAAACTGACAGTATTCAGTGACGCCAACGGTATCCGACCTCTCTGCATTGGTTCTCGACCTTCCGCCACACTCCCCGGTACTGAAGACTACCTCGTTGCCTCCGAATCCGTTGTTCTGAAGCAGCTCGGCTTCTCAAACATTGTCGACATCCTCCCTGGTCAGGCCTGTTTCTTGCAGAAGGGATGTGGTCCCAAGTTCCGTCAGATTGTTAACGACCGACCTTACACACCCGATTGCTTTGAATTCGTATACGTTGCTCGTCCTGACTCAACCATGGACGGAATCTCGGTGTACCGCAGCCGACAAAACATGGGAGAGAAGCTGGCCAAGAAGGTCCGCGCGGTTCTCGGAGAGAAGGGAGTTCAAGAGATTGATGCAGGTATGAGATATCCATATGTCTCCTGCCTTTGAGCGGTACTAATTGTTTTCCAGTCATCCCTGTTCCAGAGGTATGCCCAGTTTAGGAGTAATGATGTTGGTGAAAACGTGAAAGCTGACTCACTATCAACAGACAAGTAACATCGCCGCTGCTACTCTTGCTGAGAAGCTTGGCAAGCCATACGTCACAGCTCTAATTAAGAACCGATATGTTCAACGAACCTTTATTCTCCCCAACCAAGCTCTTCGAATGAAGAGTGTTCGCCGCAAGCTTTCACCCATCGACTCAGAATTCCGAGGAAAGAACCTCATCCTAGTGGACGACAGTGTCGTGCGTGGCAGTAAGTAGACTGAGCCCCTTACATATGAGGATCAATACTAATTTGTAAATCAGCTACATCTGGACAAATCGTGAGTAAAATGATGATGAATTTGTCTATGAGATAGAACTAATGGGCGAATGTAGGTCCAAATGGCTAGAGAAGCTGGTGCTGCCAAGGTCATCTTTGTTTCAGCCTCTCCAGAGTGCATATATCCCCATATTGTAAGTTTTCCCCCCGGCATCAAATATTGAACATATTACTAATAATAATTCAAGTATGGCATTGATCTTGCGGACCCTGATGGTATGAAGATATTCGGTGCTGTTCTTAGCTGTCTTGTTACTAACCTTTGTGAAGATTTGGTTGCTCATGGCCGAACAAACCAACAAATTGCCGACTACATAGGTGCCGACCAGGTCATCTTCCAAGATCTTGATGGACCTGATGGACTGAAGGCCGCGTGTATGGAGGCTGCTGAGGACACAAGTAAGGTCACAAGTTTTGAAACCGGTGTCTTCAGTGGCTGTTATGTCACAGAAGTGCCGGAAGGATACTTCGAACATCTCAGTGATCTCCGTAGCGGCAAGCGGAAGGCGAAGACCACCTTGACGAACACCAAGGCTGGTGGCGATGAGGGCGGAAACGTGGTTGTCAGCTCTGGGCCTACAAATGGGCCCGAGGCTGACGAGCGTGAAGATATCAGGTCAGTCTCTACGAAGGGCTTAGTGAGTAACGTCTGCTGATACGTTTTACAGTCTTCACAACATGGCGAGTGAACAAATCACAACCTCATAGGTACTGGGGATGAGGCACAAGAGTATTTGAATAATGGAATCATACTCGCCTTGGAGCAGAGCATTGCGCTGGATAAGACGAATGAGTTTCAGTACGGGCTTGGAATTGGAATTTAAAGACGAAAAATAGAATGGCGTGTCAGACTTTGATCTATAATGCCACGAAAAATAATACAGCCGGCAGGGCTGCCAGCCAGCTGTTGGCAAGAGTACGGTCATAGAGTCACAGTCTTGGCTGACAGCCCTGCGAGGCATGAGCATACTAGAGATGCCGCGAGGCCTAGATGGGTACGAGATTACGAAAAGCTGAATTTATGAGCGTTGCTCGAACTATTGCTTGACCAATTGTTGCTATATCGAAGAGGGTGATTTGTTGATAGACATCTAATCACCCCCATATTGTGAACTCGACTCCTAAACTTCGGCAATCGAAGGGACTGTATTCACCTCGAGTGGATTGGAATGGATATCTTCGGTATGGGTGAAACTAGAGGGAACAGAACAACGCATAATGTGTTATCTGGTTTCCTGTTCCGGGGTCACGAGAGTCTAGAGCTGAATCACTCCACTGTACCCATCATCACCAATTTTGCAACTCAGACCCATAAGATGTAAACCCAGTGGAACAAGTACGGTGAGCAAAGTGAAGAAATCCAAGTATCGTGAAGGTCAGTTGGCATTTTTGGTGGAGTTGTTGCAAAGGTGGGAGGAGCCTCATGAGGAGACAGTCAAGGTTTCTCCATCAAAATAGACCCATGTCAGAGGATTTCCCTGCTGCTAAAACCTTGCTGGCATTCAGTGCTGTTTTGCTTGGCTGAGGAGGGGAGTAATCGCTAGTTAGTTGTTTTATTTAGTGGCCTTGTTAGTTATACTATGGTTGCAGATGGTTGGAGAGGGTTTCAATCGGAGAAGCCAAATTTCGTATTGACTAAGGTCCTTGACTAATGTAATGCTGTGAGAGAATAGAATTATCGAAGTTACGTTAGTCAGAAGCCACGAAAGAGATCCATGCCGTTGTTACAGAGCATTAGGGAGTTTATGTTAAGGCAAGGCAAGGCAAAGCGAGGTAGGATGCGGATCATAGGCAAGGTAGTGTGCCACGGGCGGTTCATATGCTCCGTAGCAGGGGCTACATCACGATCTCCAACGCATCATACAAAGAACAGACACACCAGGATTAGTCTACCCCTCACAAAGGAAAGGGAGAGAGAAAAGAGAGAAAAGAAGACAAAAGGAACAAGGCTTCGAAGGGCAGCTGATTTCCAGATTGGGCAACATTGTCACCTCTGGCTGGACGTGATTGCGCTGAATCCACAACGACAAGCTTTCTGCGGACTCTTGTGGAAGCTTTGTAATGCAGGTCCCGGAGCTCGGCTGCACGGTATGTATTTTGGTTGCCTTTTTGGGGAGAAATAGCATCGGCCATAGTCGGGAGATCTGACAGCGAACGTGGGGCTTCTCTTTTTTTTTTTTTTTGCCTTCCAGAGGGAGAGCGAGGTGAGGCGGGCATTGTATCCATTGGGGATCATGATATGGATCGTAGAGGGAGGGACAGCTATACAATTCATACTAACTATTCCCAGATGCTTGATGCTAAGTATTGTCAGCTCTTATTGGAGCCGAGTCATGAGATCTGCTCTTAGCATAGACTAGTCGAATCAGTACTAGATTATATATGTTAGTTAGTCGATGGCCTGTCAGTTTTTATTCATGTCGGTTGGACAGTATGTAAAGCTGGGTTGGTCTATAGGATGCCTGCCGATACTATGTAGATTTGCACACCGGACTCTATGTTTGCACAGTATCCATACTCCGTGCCGTGTGATTATCATGACAGACAGACTCTCTCTCAATTAGTTCGTCTAAGAAAGTTCCATAACGTGGGTGGCTCGAGCTGCTGATCTTTGATCTGGGTAGGTATGGACGGCATGGATGTTCTTCTCCAATTTCTAAAAAAGGTACCGAAGAAAGAGCAGCCTGACATGGTCTTTCCCAAAGTAGTCTGACGTATTGACTCAATCAATGTTCCTTCCTCCTGCTCTTATTTCCATCTCAACCCGCACCCTTCCTTCCTTCCCTCCATTTACCCCTCCATGTTCCATCCAATTGTGCCATTCCATCCTAACGTTAGGTCGTCGTCGTGCCTTCCTGGTGCCGAGTTAGTTATTAAGGCAGTTAGCACCTACCTCCATTTCTACAATACTCCGTCCGTACTAGGTAGTTTCCCATAATAATAACTCCATTACATTTCTTTTCCGTCACAATCTTTTTCTATTCATCATCCTCATCATCATCCTCATCACTATTACTGCTGTCACTGTCACCAAAACTTAAACTCCTCTCTACCCCTCACTTACACCCGCGGCAACGATATCCTCTCTTTGTATTAAGAGTCCACCATGAACCTTCTGTAACGACTCGCTCGTTACATCCAAACCGCTGTCTCGCCCGCCACAAAGAGCTCGAGCACGACCTGGACCTGGACCTGGACCTACCTGTGAAATCATAGGACTCGACTGATCTTCCAGTCCAGTCCAGTCCAGCGCAGCACACAAGACACCCTCTGTAGCTGTCAAGCTGCTCTGTCAGCACCCGGCGCATGCCGCCAAGCAACACCAAACCGTGTCACAACTGCCGTCGTCGACGCCTGCGCTGCGACCGCTCATGGCCGACATGCCACAAATGTGCGGTCTCAGGGCAGGAATGCCTCGGGTATGGCAAGGTCTTCGTTTGGACCCAAGGAATTGACTCCCACGGCAATGTCAACCCCCCTCCCGGCCGGCGACTACCCGACGAATCTGATGCTTCCACCTCTGTATCACCCACTGGCCACCAGCAGGGCCAGGGTCAGCATGATCGCGCTCGACCTCAGCCTCAACCCGACTATAGCGACCAACACCCGCTGGCGCGTCTGGTTCAACAGGCCCAGCAGGCCGCACAAGAGGCAGAAGAGATGAATCAACAGCAGCAGCAGCAACAGCAGCAAAGCCAGCAGCAGCAGCCAACCCCGCCAGATTCTGAGGACTCCCCTTCGCACGATCCTAGTATACCCTGGCCTTCTCCTGCTGCACTTACAGATCCGTTGTTCCAGGACCTTGACCGCACATCACGATACTACCTAGCGCATTGTAAGTCTTGGCGGCTCCAGTTGTGGTTCTTTTTTTTTTCTTTGGCCGATGCTAATGTATGCCCCAGTCAGCGAGAGGGTCTGCAAAGATCTTGTGGTCCGAGACACGCCTGAAAACCCGTTCCGTGAGCTGATACCCTTGACGCGGAAGCACCCGCTCCTCTTGCAGATTCTTGTTGCCACTTCAGCGATCCATTGGTCCAACATATTTCGTCGTGTTACCGAAATACCGGCAGGCCTCACCAATCCCGCGGGCTATCTTTCCCTCCTACGTTCAAAAGATCTTGTGACACGACAGGCTCTCATCGATGCCTTGACGGCGAAGCAAAAGGCCATGAGCCACATGAGGGAGGTGCTCGATACCCTTGACCCGGCAGGCAGTGAGGTGGCATTAGCTGCTATGCACTTTTTTATCAAGTTTGATCTGATTGATCTGGATAAGTCAGACAACCAGAGCTGGAGGGCCCACTTGGAAGGCGCCACAAGCATCATGGCATTGCTCAACCCGGACAGTAATCCCGACGCATCTAGTAGAATGCTGCGGGACCGCGTCATTACTGACAGCTTCATGTAAGTCTGTCCTAGCTACTGGTGTACTCGCTGTGGATACTGACTTATGAAAGCTACAACATTCTGGGCTCGACGTTGACATCTGGTGGCCTTGCAGCTCGTGTTGCACGGCAAGCTTTCCAGTTCTTACCCGTTATGAAACGTGTGGAACTGACAAGCTACTTGTCTTGCCCTCCGGAGATTCTGAACATTATTCTTTCTGCATCCGAGCTGTCCCACGAAGTGCCCTGGACAGACCAGTCTCTAGGTGCGGCAGACAAGGCAATTGCTCTAATTGATGAAGCTCTTGCTGTGGACATTCCAGCTTGGGCAGACTATTTACGACAACACAACCTTGTTCAGGATCTTGAGAGTCGAGTGTGTCTAGCTGCGGCACACCGGTCAGCAGCTTGCCTGTACATCCTCCAAGCACTACCGCTAGTTCGATCTGTACGGTCCATCGATACGGATTTCCTGCTGGAGGACGTTTTGAGAAATTTAGCCGCCATCGATGAAAATGACCCATACTTCAAGGCATCGTCGTGGCCGACTTTTGTTGCAGGGGCCGAGACACGAGACCCTGAAAAACGCACTTGGACCCTGGCACGGCTGTTGTCGATTTGGCAAATATGTCCATGGGGGTATCTCTTCACGGCAATTGAAATGCTCAAAGCGACATGGGCGATGCAGGATTCGCGCGGCTCAGATAATGTCAACTGGCTACATGATCTGCGGGGGATGGGATTTGAGAACTTGATTGTTTGATTTGATTTGATTTGGTCTGATATGATATGATGTTGTTGTGCTTTTGGCTACAGTGTGTGTCTACTGGATCCAGTCCATACGTACTATACTGCCTGTCACTGCTGTGGTGTGTTTTATTTAGCGTCGAGCGAAAAGTTGTGTCGAGTTGAGACTTGTGCTTGATTCTAGGGTTCATTTCAGTTCAGTTGCAAGCTCGGAGTTAAAGTTGTAGCTAATAGGTTAGAGGAATGCCGCGTGTCCTTTTTGGCCAGCTGTCCATGGTGCAGTGCTAGAGAGAGAATAGAGGGCGTTTTTTGGGCGTCGGGAAGGGTCATTTCGCAATTGCCGGTTCTAGACTGATCGAATCTCACGATGGCTTCACCGATTTCTACCAGGTACTTTGCTAGCCTAGCTACCTACCTTACCTCAAGACACGGGATTTAACAGCAGACCCACCATTCATACGACACTGAGTTGGATGATGGTAGGTTTCGTAAGATGTCACTTCACATTCATTATTCTTTGTTGCTTGTCCTCATTATGTTTCGAGTCTCGATTACAGAGGCGGCCCCGTTCTCTCG